GGCCATTGCTATTAGGTTGGAGGCCATCTCTATTAGGTGGAGGCCATCGCTATTAGGTTGGAGGCCATCTCTATTAGGTTGGATGCCATCGCTATTAGGTTGGAGGCCATCTCTATTAGGTTGGATGCCATCGCTCTTGGACTTGCCTTTTGGTCGTAGGTACGGATTATAGGGACTTGCACATCGTGGGAATCCGGATGCCTTTTCCGAGGCTACTCCGGGAAGGATTTATGGAAGCTCAAGCAAGAGCGCCCAGAGCTCTTTGGCGTTGCCTCAGCTGCAACCTGTCAGCATACTTGGAAACAGATTCACTGATTGCTACAAGGTTGTGACGGAGAACCTGTATTGCTTTTGCTGAAATGTTCAATTTGAGATTGAAGGCATTCTGCTTTTAGCAATAGTCAGATGACTTCAAAATAGACAGATGCAGCCGATCCAGGGAACCTCTTGTGAAGATCCAGAAGCTTAATGAATGATCTACTACTGGTCCATAAAGCCCAGCGATGGTGACCAACGTTGAGCTGTAGTGTGTTTGAAAAAGTGTTTTGATATGTGATACAATCTTAGTTTGAAGGGGCCTGTAGAACACTTCAGCAGCCTGCGGTTACAATGTGTTTTTTCTCGCCAGGCACAAAATGGGAAGCCTGCCCCTCCTGGGTTTGAGCAGCTGCGAGAGATGCCAGGGTGGGACAGAGCACGCAGCAACTATGGTACTTAACATATCTTAGGATCAATCTACCGTTTACATGTCTACAGTCGTTTGCAGCATTCCTTGACTACAAACCCTTTTGGTTGGTGAGAGTGTTCGTTGATGTCCTACTCTTGATTTCCAAATCTCCAAAGCTAGCAGGTAGTATCACTGTAATTTGCATGCTCACTTCTGTAGCTGGCAGGTGGATGTACCACAGGGAAAAAGCTCTATATTTCCAGCGAGTCAAGGACCTAGAACTGTTGTGAACGAGGAGTTTGAGCACAGCTTGAGACCTGGTTCCTGTGGACAAACGTTGGAGAAAAGGCAAAACAAGCCGGCTCAGGAAAGTGGGCTACTTTACTGCAGAGATTCTGCAACTAATGAGCTGTATGAATTGCATCAAGGATTTCGGGGGTCAAGAAATTTGAAGGGAGCATGCTGCATTGAATTACTGGAGGCTGCAAAAGCATCTCTACGGAGCTTTGCGTCATTCTTCGACAAACCTTTAGGCATTAGATTCAGATGACTGATGACAGAGTTTTCAACTGATGTCATCATTTCAGAAAGCAAAAGGAGAAGACTACAGCGGAACTTTGACGGTTCGTGGTGACGCTGCTACAGTTGCTGTAAAGGGGCAGGCCAGGAAAGCTGACACGTGCAGAAAAGACATGAAAAGACCATGGGCAGGCCATGCCATCGGGTCATCAGCCTTGTTTATGCATGTCGCTGTTACTCATTACAGTACCTGATGTGAAATGGAGGGTGCATACATGATTTGCCCTGGACTTTACATTCTGCATTGAATCTGTCCAGGCCAGTCGCAATGTAATCATCAATGATTTGCATCGTGCCGCATCTTCCATGATTCCTGGCCTTCATAGAAATCCATCCTAATCCTTGCGGCAATTTTCTGTAAGGGAATCAACTCCCTGCACCAGAAGTCAGTGCCAAGGAAGCTGGACTTCTCACACCACGACAGCCCAGCAGCCATGTTTGCTGTTTACGATGCGACTGGATGTAGCAACGATCAAGCAGAGGCCGCAGCCAAAGGAGTTGGTTCGATCGGTTCTACTTACAGTCCCTGCGATACGTAGTGTTATATAGTGTTGTCCTTGCGCAACATGAATACCTAATACTCGTGGAAAGAGAAGTGGAACAGTGAATGCTGATCTCAACATGAGGACTTCACATGCAACTCTTGCCGCGTCTTGCTGCATATCGTGGCCGGTGGCAGAATGACCGTTTGCAAGGGGCTCTTTCCGATGCTATTGAACAGTTGAGGACGCCTGAGTTTCTTCATTCACTAAGCTAGGCAGGACTTTGGAGGGAGCAAAATGACTAAAGAAACCGTGCGCAAGTTTTGTCGCTGCTCAGAGTCAAACTGTTGCCAGGAATGAGATTGCACCAGAGACAGGCATTGCACTTGCTGTGGCACTTTTGCTTGGTGGACGGCTGACTATGGCTGCCACAGGTGGTGCTGTTTGCATGATCTTTGGACAGGTGGGCCAATCAGATGGAAATGTGGACAACTTGGAGGTTGTTGGATTGCAGACTGAACCAACAACCCACTGTGCCGTCCTAGAGGACAGTCACTTGGGTGCATTGCTCACCGTTAATGGCATAAGAAGCTCGGGACTATCTGCAGCAAGGATGCGTGCTTTGGCCAGGTCCCACACAATGGGTGACAGACCCCGTGCTGGATGTGTATCACTTTTAGAAGAAGCTCAAAAATCTGGAGCTCAACCTCCTTTGGTAGCAGCGGCAGTTCGATTTTCTTGGTCTCGGGGGGACCAAGTGAAGAAGCAGCGTACCGATCCTTCAAGTCTCACAAAGGTTCGATGTCGTCACATTCTGCTTCGCCATGTGGGTTGCCAAGCACCGCTTGGCGACAGGAGAAAGAAACCAACACGAAGTTTAGGTGAAGCAGAGTTGCAAATGCTTCGCATTCTGCCCGAGATCGCGCATGGTGGAGCTGCTGCCTTCACCAAGAAGTGCAAGGAGCTCTCAGAGTGTGACACCGCAATGAAGAGTGGCGATTTGCCTCTTGCCTTTCACCGCAACAATTTGTAGTTGTCATTTTATGGACTGTACGGCTAAACCCATTGCTACTAGTAACAAGGGCATCGCTATTAGGAGCAAGGACGCTACTAGTAGCTCCTGGCATTACTGCTAGGAGCAAGAAGCTACTGGTAACAAAGGGCACTATCACTATCTTTAAACATTTGTTTCTTTTGAACTGTTTTCGAGCACGGAGTTCATCCAGGGCTGGCGACCTTGGGTGGTTGGACAAGGATCCTGCCCGCAGTCGCAAAGTGCCGGCAGCTGTGGTTCGTGCAGCGTTCTTGCTGGCGGTTGGGCAGGTCAGCGATCTCGTTTCATCTGAGCGTGGAATCCATCTGATCTTGAGAACGGCCTGAATGACAGTTGAATGCGGTTTCAAAACATGCCAACCTTTGCCAGTTGCACTGCTGTCAAGCGGGCGGGAAAGGAGTTTCGGCATGAGAGCTTCAGAGAATTTGCTGCAGATTTGAGGCATGGCCTGCCTGAGGTAGCACGTGGGGTTGGAAGCTAAGAGATTCAAACCGATCCGTTGCCTTCGACTCAGAATGTCTTTTCCTTTTCATGTTTGACGCAGGCGGTCGTTGTGTCTTCAGCGTTTTCCGTGCTCGTGTCGACTGCAGGCGTCGCAGCATCCCCGATTCAATGTCATGCAATCGTGTAGGTTGTCAACCTAAAAGCTAGAGATTCTTAAAGTCTTTTCTTGTCTAGAGGCTAACGAAGGCCTCCGAGTCTTGAGAGAAGTTAAGAATTCTAGGATTGAAATTTAGGAGCAAAGGAAGGAAGGGGAACGGATTGAATCACATTGTGTGCATTTTATAACATTGGGACAGAGAAATTTGATCTGACTGCAGGCTTAGCTTTGCTTCGAGGCCACACTCCTTAACAAAGCTCACCTGTGGAAACTATGCGAAAATATGTTTGCTTCTCGTATGATTTGACAAGGCACAAGGCCAAGTGAAGTGGAGCGATTGCAGAGGTATGCCGTGTCGCACTTGGGCCAGTACCTGTGTGATAAAATCAAATAACAAGTTAGGAATCTCAACATCAGCTTTTTGTGCTTTCCTGAGTCGCAAAGATTCGCTCAAAGGATGCAGGCTCTCCAATCCAACAATGGATTCTTTGGCATGTCCTTGGAGTCATCCTGGCACGATTGTAGGTACAAGTGCAATTTACATGTAATTACCTCAGCGTTTGCCTGCTTTGATGCCCATTCTTTTCGAAGAAGCGAGCATTCATGGAGCTCATGGACATCATCGAGCATTGCTGCCGATGTGCCAGGTTTTCGGTGCATTGCTGCTGTACATAGGCATGGCAGCACAGTCAGTGTGGGCTTGTCAGGCTTTCCCAATCAGCAAAGTAGAGTCTAGACTCGCGTTAAGACTTTTCAGGGGAATGGGAGCCCAGGTCTAGTTCTGAGCTCCATACCAATGCTCATGGGTGTGTCAGCTGATGACGAGGGCAAGGTGCACCTTTTCGCTGACAGTTTAGTTGTCTTGGCATCAAAGTAACGAAACCCTGTCATACAGCAGCACAAATGGATACCAATGGATACACATGGTGCTAAAGAAACAAGTGAAACTGACAGATTAGCTTTTTGTTCAAACTAAAGTTGTTCAGTGATGAAGTACAGTCACGTGGGCTGAGGGCTTCTTGACATGTTTTGCCACAACACGCTTGGCTCCATTTGTCGCATACTCCGCCCTGCAGACTGCGGCCATTGTGCAGCAAACGTTGGTGCTTGTTTGTTGGTTGACTGAGCGCTACTTGGTGGAAGGCCGGGCAGCCGCAGACATACGCAGAGACTTTGGACACAGAGAGAGAGAGAGAGACAGACAGACAGAAAGAAAGAGGCGCGCACAGAAGATCACACAAGTCTGAAAGGCCGGCCATTGCCACTCATGCAGAGCTGCCTGTGTGCTTTGACACTCGCTTCAACTTGTTGACCCAGCATAGATGTCTTCAGAGTTCAGCAGCAACCCTGCCCACTTCCAAGGATTTGGTTTGGATCTACAGTCTCTAGTCTCCATGTTGGATGTGCATTTTCTTTCCGTGCAGGTGCACACTTTCAAACAAGAATCACCACTCAGATCATTGCACTGAACGAGAGTCCAGTGTTAAAGATGCTAAGGGCAGTCCGTGTTTATTTGAATACGGGTGGATCATGCTAAGCCGGGTGATCACAGTCCTAGTGGTTGCCTTGCGATTTGGTCAAGGTTGTTGAGTGGGCTGGGTCAGCTCCCTGATCGTCTCACTTTATTTATGCTTCTATGATAGCTTGCAATATGTTTGCAATGCTGCATGAAGACAGTTGCCAGAAGCACTTTGTTGCATAAGGCCCAGACCTTATGACAACATGAGCCTTGGGTTACCAGGTCAGATTGCAGGCGTCCATGTCTAGATGTCAATCGATTTGAAACTTCCACACTTTGCTTTGAGCTGAATTTGTAAAGCGATTGAAACGGTTGGAAACGTTTGGAACTGTCCAGCTGCCGCCCGTTTTTTCAGGCTGTGACGGTGGCTACAGATCACCCTTTCTGATTTACGCCTCGGTATGGCTCACAGGGTCGGGTGTGAAAAGCACAAGTCGGGTGCGATTGCTTTCCGCCGTTCGACACAATGTAGGGTGCTCCGATTCTATTTTGTGGTAGGCTGACCTTCGGCACCTTGTTGCTCTTTTGCGAGGAAGGTGCGCTATATATAAGGTTGGTATTTCAGTCCACTGCCGGCATGCCAAAGACTCCAGATCAATCCGGCTCATATTGCAAACTATATCCAAATCATTATGTGGGAAGGTACTACCTTAGTCAGCTGCGTTGATCCTAGCGATGATGAGGCGCTGCTACCGTCATGGCAGCATGTTATAGCATGTTCGTTTTTTAAGTTTCACCCAATCTCTTAGAACCGCCCACTGCAAGGCTGCAGCAGCACCGGACCCTGCACAGGAGAATGTTGAGTTTTGCTTGCAGAGAATATGTATCTTGATAATGCCTATTACACTCTCCAACTCGCGAAAGCATCTCGGGACCCACAATGGCTGGATGAGGAGAAAACGCGAAGGCTCCAGCCATTTAGAAGAAAGGCCACAGAATGGACTTGTATGGACATTCAACATGACATACACACACACAAAGCAGGTTCAAAACGTTTGTAGCCCGAATGGTATGTCCCTGTCCCTAGGAGGCCCAAATTGACAGAGAAGCATAAGGTACTCATTGCATCTCATTGTATTGCAGGTGCTCCCAATAGTTTATGCGATGGCAACATCAATGTCGGGCATTGTCTTGCTGGCACGGTGCACATTTCCCCGACTCTCTTGAATAGATGCCTCAAGTGTCCTGAACAAGTTGTAAAGAACGATTGATGATTGCCCTTCATTGTTGTCAAGATGACATACCAGGTGTTTGCTACTGGAACTGCTGGCAATGACATGGCCAGGGCCTCAAGCTGGTCGCTCTTGTGAGCAATATTCAGGCAACTTTGAAGACCACATGTCCTTTCGCATCAATATAGAGCCTGCCACTCCACGCCTCTCTTTTACTGCTTTGCTCATTTTTTAAAGCCCGGGGCGGGGTAGGTCGTGAAGAGGCTAGCGGCTAGCTCAACTGGTAGCAAAAAAGTAAGCTAACAAGTATATAGCTACTAGTTGGGATGTAGAAGAGCTCAAGCTTCCTTTAAGAACCCTTCGCATGATTCTATGTTCCTAGTTATTTAAGAAACTTCAGTTTCATGCATCCTCCGACCTAATAGCGATGGCCTCCAACCTACATGCATGGCCTCTCGTCTACTTGTTCGGGCAACCCTGTATTAACTACATACCCCTTGACCCTTGGCCAGCTAACCCTTTCCCCGCATCGGTTTCGCCAGCGCTACATCACGGCGGGCGCCGTGCTACTGGTCATTGCTGTGCTTTGTGCCTGGGCGACTTGGCAGCTAATGGCTAGCGGCTAACCTCTTGACTTGTAGAACCGTGTTGAATTCAGGCAGTGAAGACTTGATTGTTGTAATATTAGTTATTATATAGTTTTCACCTAATGATTACCAATGCAAGAATGCGTTTGTTCTTTGCATGTTCTTAGTTTCTTGGTATGCAAATAAGGACTTTCTGTGGCGCTTGGAGCTTCCTCTTAGCACCTGGGGCGCTGTCTTTCAGGGATTTACCACTTCTTTGCTGCCTCCCCAGTGCGATTCCAACAATGACCAACCAATCCTTTTGATGAGACTCTGGGTTGCAAACCAACTCTACCTTCTAGGCGAGTGGTCCAGAGCCACTTTGTTTTCCGCGATTTCAGGCCGCGGTCTCTGAATATGGACCAAGCTCACACTCATGGATATGCGTACGGACTTGATAGCGGTGCCACACGCCGGCCTAGGGTTCCATTTCCTAAGAGTACAGGTAGGGAAATCTAAAGAAGAAGAGGAGGTCCATCCAGCGGAGGTCCCAAAGGTAATCAACGAGCGAGCGGACGACAGGGTGACGACGGTTCGAGGAGGTCAGTGAAGCTCCCAAGGTCCAAGCACTCAAGGAAAATCAACGCTGCAGTAGCCCTTTACTGAAGGAAACAACGAAGTAGACAGCTTGTGCTCTACGTAGGTTCCTCTTCAAGCAGGTACGTCAATCCGGCGTCCCGGATTGATTTCACAGACCAGTGCAATCGTCTTTGTTAGTGCCAGACTTGCACGGTCCCTGGCACCCCCTGCTGTAAGACAAAAGCAAATGCAAAAGCATCCCTATGACTCCAAGGGTGACACACACACGCCTCCCCGAGGGGAGGCGAGAAGCTAAGGTGAGGGCCGATGTGCACGTGTGCGCGCCCAAGAGACAGGAAAATGAAGACATGACAAGAGGACGAGACGGGACAAAGGTGCGTGTGGTTGAAATGAAAGGGGAACCAAGTGCACAGGGACAACCGATGAAGCCCACCTCATTGTAAAGACCTGGGCGACCTGAAACCTGTGTTTAAATGTGTGTAGAAGTGCACGTACACACTAAGGCCGGGACCAATGTGCGCGCAAACGAAGAAAAGGATGAGATGACCAGACATGAAGACAGGAGGACATGAAAGAAAAGAGGAAACAAGAGTGTGTGAAGGGAAGGGATGAAAGGGGGAACCAAATGGAGGGGACGAGAACCGATGAAGCCGAGCCTCATTAAAACGACCTAGGAAAACCTGCCTCGTTTGAATGTATACGCTGTATGTGCACCCAAGGTCTCGACAGGTTCCAATGAACCTAAAACTGGCTTTGACCGCTCTGGTCACCTTGTGCCTTGCCGAAATGGCTGGCTGCTTTGACCGCTGCGGTCACGCAAAGGCATGAGCCAACTTGGAATTCCAAAGATGGGACAAAAATCATCGGACGTACGGCCTAGGCCACCTGCTGTCCGTTCCCAGAGCCGGGGAACATGGACATACACCCGTTCGACGGGTCCACGGGAGGCACTCTGCGGGCTCATCCCGGGTTGGCGCGAGGCCAAACACACTCATGGATATGCGTACGGACTTGATAGCGGTGCCACACGCCGGCCTAGGGTTCCATTTCCTAAGAGTACAGGTAGGGAAATCTAAAGAAGAAGAGGAGGTCCATCCAGCGGAGGTCCCAAAGGTAATCAACGAGCGAGCGGACGACAGGGTGACGACGGTTCGAGGAGGTCAGTGAAGCTCCCAAGGTCCAAGCACTCAAGGAAAATCAACGCTGCAGTAGCCCTTTACTGAAGGAAACAACGAAGTAGACAGCTTGTGCTCTACGTAGGTTCCTCTTCAAGCAGGTACGTCAATCTGGCGTCCCGGATTTATTTCACAGACCAGTGCAAGCGTCTTTGTTAGTGCCAGACTTGCACGGTCCCTGGCACCCCCTGCTGCAAGACAAAAGCAAATGCAAAAGCATCCCTATGACTCCAAGGGTGACACACACACGCGATGAAACAGTTTTGGGTTTTTCATTGAATAACGCCCAACGCTTTGGACTTCGGATCAGGTGGGATCCTGAAGACATGCATGGAATTTTAATTGTTTACAAGTGAGCGCCTCAGCATTCCATGATCAGAGCTGCCCAACTCATCCTGTGATCATGGCACTGCGTCACATCTATATAATGGCGTGTTTGCAGGTTTCCTGGCCTTCAGTTTTTCATGACAGGCATGTTTGTGCTTTTCGTTTCGTCAGTATCTCAGCCTTAAATTTGTTCTATAGACGCTCGCGTTTCAGATTCATCTGACACATGACATGAGCCGTGCAGTTTACCAGTGCCAGATTGTTCAAGGCTGCAGTTGTACATGTACACGTGTTCCTGGCCTGAATGGAGCGCTGGGGAGCAGGCCAGATCAAATCCCTTAGCGAATCTCGCAAGGAGGTGAACAGTTTGCATCTCTGAGAGCAGTGACAGTTTGTTGTTCTTTTCAGGCACAAACCTCGCTCCACTTGTCCTCCTTATCCAGAGATACCCGGGTGCGGCTTGCTGGCTTGCTGAAACGACTATATAGACTAGACTATTCGCAGTCTCATCGCAGCTTTCCAGTTGGGCCAGGCGGAGAGTCTTGACGAAGGTTCCAGCTTCTCGCACGGCCGACTATGCAGGCACAGCACGACGTTTGCACGTCATCCAAAACGAAAGACGTGAGCACTGGATCTGAAGAATATTCAAAGTCCAACACTGAGGCACCTAGATAAAAACAGGATTATACCAGCATAGACCATATAGACCCCAAACAGTTTCAAAACGATTCGTTTGGACCAATGTTAGTCAATAACGATTTCTTGGTACGCCCTACCTTTCCCGCAAGAGCAAACTGCTTCATCAATTATGTTTGTCGGCTATTTGTCGGCCACACTCCTCTCCAGCTGCTGACAATATTCATGAAAACTGAAAAATTGACAATGTCCAATGCGTCTCACGAGCACATTATCGGGCGCCCCATCTATCAACAGTGTGAGACGGGCCCGGACGGGCCCCTACGCGAATCCGCTTCTTTCACGATTTTCACGGGCGTCCGATTGGACGTCACTCCGCACTCTAAACACTCGGCCACAGAGTTCAGGGGTTCGGCCAGTCAGTGTGGCCAGGGCTGGTCAGCGCGGCCAGAGGACAACAGCAGGACAAGAGAAGGACAACAACAGGACAAGAGGAGGACAAGACCCGGCCACAGAGTTCAGGGGCGCGGCCAGTCAGTGTAGATCTTGCAAATTTTGCAGGGGAAGCCGCCTGTGGCAATGGCTGCTACTTCCGTTTTGCATGTCGGGATCTAAGAAATCAATTGACAACAAATGACGCTCACTATTATATGACAACCAGGAGCAACTGCTGTCCTCAGGCTTTGCATTATCGTTGGCACTCACATACCACTGATCCAGGCGGAGCAGTGCTTGTAGTACTAACTATCCAAACATTGCTTTTGACTTGAACTCGCTTTTTAGCTTGACACGCTCTGACACTGGCAGACGGAGTTCACACTTCCGGACATCAAGTGGCTGCACAATGCGGCTGCGATTGAAAGGCCACCCTGCTATTTTTTTTCAGCACGTCAATCTGATAGACCGGCCATGTAAGGTTGCTAGGCTAGTGGCTACTTTGAGCTTATCTTGCCAACCCCCAATGGAGGTTGTTTAGCCCTTTGCGTTGACTCTGATGTTTCATGTTCTGACTTGCGACAGGCTACTGTACAAGTTACAATTGGCAATAATGATCATGCGCGGCATGTTCAAGAGGAAAAGGTATGCCTATGCCAATGGTGGTGAAGAAAATCTCTTCACCAGCCACTGCTGAAACCACACTACTTCACCTGCCGAGCACACAACAGTTAATGTTTAGTCGCAAGAACCTGCCACTTTACCACGAGTCATAGGTAAGAACCCACCATCACCAGACTAATGTTTGCCTTTTCAGAAGTCGTGACACGTACTATTTCACCAGCCATGGGCGTTCTACTTCAGTATGGCCAGACATGTACCACATCGAAAACAAGTACAGTAAGAATTCACTCCCCGCGGGAAGATACTTTTTCACCAACGTGGCATATGTACCACATCACTTCCCAGCGGCAGGACCATGCCATGTCCAAAGAACGGCACAAAATCAACTTTAGCCTTGACGTCTCCCCACTTCAGACATTTGGTTTATTTGGTTTTAGTTTTATTCATTTCAGATTCGATTTCCATCACTTTCCTCTTCCAGTACGTAAGATTAAATCTTGCAGTATGAAAGATGTGAGACATATGAAAACTTGTGATGTTGCATCTTCACAAGTGTTTAGTTCTTCGACGCTTGTCCCCTTCCGCTCACCTACCTTTCGTGCAACCTTGTTCTCAATTTGTGAGGTTTATGATTTATATATGTTGTGTCACAGGATGCAATAATAGGATATAATAGGTATATAGTATATAGCAACGATAGAATCTCAACCAACAGTCAGTTGTCTCACTAGTGCTAAACATTACACATTTCAATCAGGTTTCTGCCAGCGTTCAGTGATTTTATGATTTGGGCGAGCTCTGACAGGTTTAAGTCAAACCACACACCGGGTCATGTCCTCAGAAATCAGTCCGCAGTCGCTTGGATAGATGGAAAACAATATTGTAATTAGGTCTGGGTTCCTCCACGGGTGACATCTACGTACTTCGTGTTATTTCTCATTGTGTTCTTGTCACGCCCAGGATACGGACATCGGTTCACGGACGGTGATGCATATATCGATGTCATTACTTGGCTGTACGACAGGCTGCTTCTCTTCAGAGCCAGAACTTTTGTTGCATTCCCAAGTTGCGTAGTATTTCGCAATGGCTGTCCATGTGTGCAGTCGACTGCCATGCTCTGCTTTTGTGGTCAGCTACAACGCGATGATTGTGGGAACCTTTGTTGCTGCACTCAAATATTGTTGGGGTCCAGGAACCTCTTGTCTGAGCATTCAAGTGCAAACCTTGCTTCAGCTATTCAGAACAAGACTAGTGTTGGACCAGTGCAATATGTCCTGATCTTGCCTGACATCGCAGCTTCCTCCTGTACAATTCTTGCTCTTCTTCTTCATTCTTCTCCGGCTCAAATCTTAGTGTCCCCAGAGAGCACAAGGAGTATACTGTACTTTCAGGGTGTCGCAAGAATATAGTCTCTAAAACATTCTGTAACTATATATTTCTTGCTACTTGTGACTGCTTTGGAGTGTGAGGCCATCCTTCATCCCTGAGGAGCTTTATTGCTCCATGCAGGCCTATGTAATGAACTTGGTGGTTTCCTTACTTCAGTGAGAGGGGCATAGTGTCAATGCTGTTCAGCTTTGTTCACAGTTCTTCCCTCTCAAATGGATGATGTCAAGGCCCCAATGCGCTTCACGCAGCCCTGTATCATGATGCCGGGACCTTTTTTCCATCATGCAGAATCATGCAGAAGATTACACACGAATGAGTGCGTGTGGAGATGCGCGAGTTTCCAAGGCTCATTGTGGGAATTGCCAACATGCCTGGTCCAGGGGACACATTGTTTGGAGCAGACCCCTAAGCTTGGATGTCTCAAATTCCATTGCACTGCAAGATCGCAAAGAAATCAAACTGTCGCCCATATTCCCACACCTGCCAGGGATGGTTCACCCATGGCTACTGGTATTTCATTGCGTGCTCCCTGGCCCTCAGCAATCTCGGTTTGCCGAATCCAAGTGTTTTCTTGACAGGTACTGTACGAGCGCAATCCTGCTAGCATGGTCAGCATCGCACCTATCGGTTTGCCAGGAAAGATTTGACCGTACAACTGTTCGTCTTCTGAGGTTCAACCCAGCGAAGAGGACGAATTTACAACTGTGAGTTTCGTGCCACGAAACATGGAACATGTTTACTGAGTTTGCCGACCGCACGCCTCGAACAAGCTGGGCGGGCGATCGATCCGTACGAGCCATGACGGCTACCGTTTGGCTGTGAGAAAAGCCGCAGCCGCTGCATAGCAAGAGACTGACACACCCCAAGACTTTGTGCGCTTGGAACCGTGGGAACACACACCACTTGCTCCACCTGCTACCTTTGTTGTGTTCTCACAACATTGGTAGCGGAGCTACCTTAGCTCCAGGGCATGGCTTCCGGTGGCTCTCCTGCAAATGGCGGTGACACCGCCCCTTCCTCTTCGTCAGGAGGTCATGTCGAGACCTTGAAGGACACCTACATCCCTGTCTTCACCAACCGGGTGGCCGACTACCGGGAATGGAGACAAAGGATCCTCCTGTACAAGAGAAAGGTCCCAAGGCAAGGAGAAAGAAGCCGTGATCAACGGGCTCACGAGCTTGAATGGCGCTGCTTGGCGCCAAGTGGAGCACATGACCGACTCCTTGGTCGACGCCTCTGATGGCTTCGACAGAATCCTCCAGGCCCTTGACAACGCCTTCAAGTACGACTCACGAGTCGAAATGCCTAGAGCATTGGAGCGCTTCTTCTACCAGCTCACCAGGAAGTCAGAAATGACTATGCTCCAGTACTGCTCAGAACATCGCGAGCTCCTTCGCGAAATCGAGAAGTTTGAGATCAAGATCCCCTCCAGCGTCAGTGGCTGGCTGTTGCTCAGACGGTCAAATTTGACGCAGGAACAGAAACACCTTGTGCAAGCTCAGGTTGGTCCAGAGCTTGACATGGAGAAGGTCGAGTCCGTCCTCTACTACCTGTTTGGTCAGGACTACAAGACCAAAGCCGAACGACCCGCCTGGAACAAGAACAAGCTGAACAAAAGCAGATGGTACCCTGCCAAGAAAAGCCAGGCCTACACGGCTGAAGAGTTCGACCCTGAGGACTATGAAGCCGACCCTGAAGAGACCTTCCTCCAAGCCGATGAAGAAGTCTTTGAGGATGACTTCAACCCTGAAGAGTATGAGGACCCTGACCTCGCCCATGGCACCTTCGAAGAAGAGGCCTATGGAGAAGAATGGCTTGAAGAAGGCTCTGATCCTCAGTTCGAGGAAGCGTACGCCACCTACTTGGACGCTCGACGCCAACTGGCGAACATCAAGGCCTCCAGAGGCTACTACCCCGTCGTGGCCTTGACCTCAGAGTTCACTTCATCCACCTCTCCCTCATCGCAGCGACCTGTTGTGAAAGGAGGCAAGGGCAAGAAAGGAAAGGGCAAAGGAAAATAACCGCCACAAAAAGGAACAGCCCTTCAACGTGGCCGCACTGCTCTCAGCACAATGCAGTGTTTCAAGTGTGGAAGATTTGGTCACGCCGCTGCAGAATGCCCTCAGCAATCAAAGACCTCACCAAGCACTTCACCAAAGAGAGCCAAAACTGACTCAAGCACCAAGACGAGTGGACAAGCTTTCATTGTTCGTGATCTTGCTCAAGCTCCACCTCCACCCATCTCAGAAGCAGGCTGGTTTGGCATGCAAGATGGCGGTGCTAGCAGTTTGGTTTGTGGCCACAGCGTTTTGATGGAAATCATTGTCCACATGCACTCCAAGGGGGTCCCTGTTGAGCGCTATGTGTTCTACCCCTCCTCCAAGTTGTTTGGATTTGGCGGCGACGCCATGAGACGTGCTGAATGGACTGTGAAGCTTCCCATCTACGTCAATGGACGCTCCGGCCTGGTTGAATGCTTTGTGGTCGATGGCTCAACGCCTATGTTGGTGGGCAGGCCTATTCTGAAGGCCCTGAAGATCAAGGTCGACTGGGAGAACGACTTGTACTCCTTCGACAACGGTCCTTGGCAACCTGCCACTCTTGGTCAGAAAGGTGAGTTCCTCATCAAGTTCGACGACGGCGTCACTGCAGATTCCGAAGGGAAGGAGGTCCAGTTTGACCTGGTGACTGCCGAGACCTTTGACCTCGTGACTGACCAGAGTCAAGGACACTCCAATGGCTACACCTTGCAGCAGTATCTCGATGCCACAGGTCGGGATCCACCTGAACTGGCCCTTCACGTCGCTGACGATGAGAACTACGAAGCTGAGTCCAACGTGACCACCTCCGACCTCTTCGATCCTGATGACGAGCAGGAAACCCTCGTCCGACGGAACATCACCGAAAAGCTCATGAAGGGCATGCGTTTTCATCACGCTCAACAACTTGCACACCGGCGCCAGGTTCTTGAACATGGACTTCGTGCCCAAGAAGCTGGACAAAAGATCTTCTGGGAGGTCTACTCAGGTTGTGGCCTTTTGTCTCAAGAAATGGCCCGACGCGGCTACAAGGTCTTCAGCTTCGACTACAACACCGGCTGGGACTTTGACAAGCCCTCTCATCGCAATGAGTATTTCAAGCTCCTTGATGAAGTGGCCCCTGATTTTGTTTGGATCGCACCTTCATGCAAAAAGTGGAGCCACATGCAGAGCATCAACCTGAAGACTGAACAGCAGCGTTTTGCACTGCAGTGTGAGCGGGACTACAACGAAGCTGTGCATCTCAAACTTTCTCGCAGGACCTATGACACCCAACACCGTGAAGGAAGAGACTCCGGGATTGAACATCCCAAACTCAGTGAGGCCTGGAACACCAAGACCTGGCAAGATCTCCCTGGCTACGCTTGCCACCTGGATCAATGTGCCTTTGATGCCATGATCGCCGACTACTACATCAAGAAGCCAACACGCCTTCAGCTGACAAATCAACAGAAGATCTCGCCTGGACATGCCCTGGCGATCACCAACACCTACAGCTTGAAGGTGGCCTTCCTGGCATCGGCTCACTGACTCAGGCTGCTGCCGCGTACCAGGAGACCTTTTGCTGGTACATTGGAGAAGCGATCGACCGCCTCTACAACAATGAAGAAGCCTATGGCACCGACATCGAGGAGGAAGAAAGAAAGATGAAACTGGAAGAAAACAACGCCGACTACACACCTACAGAACCACCGGAACCACAAGAACACGACGCCCTCACTTCACCTCATGCAGTACCACCACCGAAACCACAAGCCCCAGCGGACCACAGGGAACAACAAACAGGCGTACTTCAACAACTACAACACCATGCCAGTCAAGCAGTCAAGCGAACCATCACCAGACTGCATAGGAACTTGGGCCATCCAACAAACACTGAGCTGACCAGACTCCTTCGACCCAAGGGAGCATCCGAGGAGATGTGCGCTGAAGCCCAACACCATGTCTGTCCGACGTGCGTCCTACAATCAACGACGATCTCAAGTACCAGTGTCTTCGATACCTCGTACTCTATGCTTCAATGAGCGAGTACAAGCGGACACCATGTGGCTGAAAGTATCCTCTAAGCAGAGAGCACTTCCCATCCTGATGATCACTGATGCCTCCACTCGCTACACAGCTGGACGTCTTCTACCAGCTGAGAAGCCCAAGGAATTTATCCAAGCCCTTGAACGTGGATGGCTACGAACATTTGGCCCTATGAAGCTACTTCAAGTTGACGATCATCGTGCTTGGGCCTCACAAGATGTTCGAGACTGGCGCTCCGAGCAGGGGATCGAACTTCAAATCTCTCCTGGCCAAAGCCACACCAGGCTGTCAATCCTGGAACGTCGACACCAAGTCACTCGTCGTGCACTTGAGAATTTCCTGGCAGATCAGAAAGAGGCTCAACAACATGAACCACCACGAGACCAAGTGATTCGAGCCCTTTGCTATGTGCTGCCACAGATCAATAGAAGCACCAATGTCCACGGCTACTCTCCAGTGCAATGGGTTTTGGGATACACACCGCAAATCCCTGGCCTACTCCTCGAAGAACCAATGGTTCCACCGACACTCGATGCCACTGAGGAGTTCATGACCAAGCTCCACCGTCAGAAAGCAGCCGCCAATGCAGTTTTTGCAGCCGATCTTGATCAACGCTTGACAAGAGCCTTGCTGCGCAAGTTCACTGGACAAGTCTCTCAATTTGCCCTTACTACTACCGTGATGCACCTGGCGGAACTGGACCCAAGCTCCGATGGCGTGGACCAGCTCGCATCGTCGTGAAGGAAAATGCCCATGCTGGCCCTCATGCTGAAGTTTACTGGCTTGTGCACGGCAGCAATCTTCTTCGTGCAGCACCAGAGCACCTCAAACCGGTTTCAACAGCAACGCAGGAACCCACAGAAGATGATGGCACTGATCCCTTCAAGAAGGCACAACAAGCCATCCAAGGAGTGAGGAACCGAGGCACCACACTCTTCATCGACCTCATCCGATCCAACAAGCGACAGCGACATGAAGTAGACAGCGATGAAGAAGTGGATGAACCAGACGACCTCATGCAGACCGAGCCCAATGCACCAACCTACCGCGACCACTGGCAGGTCAGTGATGACCAAAAGACCTGGGCCAGGATCCACAATCATCCTCGAAGAGAACTGTATGTTCCAGACTCCACTGAAGATGTCCCTCTTGATCGCTTCACCAGCGAGAGGATCACCAGCGTCCATCGAGAACCACCACATCCAGAACACATCCGCATGCGAGATGACTGGAGAACACCTGATGCTGGCAGACCACTACATTACAAGTGGACAGGAACAACGACCTTCATGATTGAGGACCACAAAGGATCCGACTCGGATGACACACTCCATCGTCTCTTCATGCCTGAGACACCAGACGACAATCCAGAGCCAGATGGCGATGACCAACCGATGGAACCAGAAACAGGACAACACCCAGAGGCACCGCCTCCAGCCCCTATGCCAGAAGCACCACCGGCGCCCAGTGATGATCCACCGGCTCCAGAGGCAAACATGCCTCCAGTGGACTCTCCTACCATTCCGGAACATCAACAACAGCTGTACACACCCCCACAACCAGGGGAAACATTTCAACAGCAAAGAGCCAGAGTTGACAAACAGGAAACCCTGTCATTTAAGATGCCTACATCCTATGGTCCGGTCAAGCCTACTGCTTCAACCAGAACAACACCATACAGCAAGGTCCATGAAGAAGAAGACATCAGCCTCCAAGTGGACGTCGACTTGACCAAGGTGGACAACCTTCCACCTGGATGGCATCTAGAAAACGGCTGGCTCACACTTGATGCACCACAAGACGAGTGGACCATCAGTGGCAATTGGCTCATCATGCACCACTATGAACCTCGCAAAGAAGCCTTCAAGCCTACCAAGGACAACTGCCCGATAGATGTGAGCTTCCTTGCAAAAGACCGAGTCACCAACACCACTCATGGTGTATTTCACGACAGATGGCAACGACACAGCCACAACAAGCTGATCGAAGAAGCCACGTGGACCGGTCAAACCCGCTTCAAGCTCAAAGCCAACTGGCGACAAAAAGCAAAAGAAGACTATGCTAAGGCCAGTGGCGGCTTTACCGCCTACATTCCAAGAACTCCAGCGGGCGTGACGAAGAAGGGCAAGGACCAAGTCACAGAACGAAAGATGAGTGTTGCTGATCGTTTGGCCTTCCTGAACGCAAAGAAGAAGGAACTGGACTCATTCTTCCAAAACCAGGTATGGCTCTATGACAAAGAAGACAATGCCTCGCCTGGGAGGGTTCTCAAAGCTCCCTTCATCCTCACCTGGAAGAAGAATCCAGATGGCACACCACGAGCAAAAGCTCGCCTCATCACTCATCAAAGACCCGGACGCTTTGAGTGGCTCCTTGACCACCAACGCACCAACACTCACACGACTTTCTCGTGGCTTCATCCTGAGCATTTGCATGATGCACCATTGGCACACGTTCACCAGCGACATTACAACAGCCTTCCTCCAAGGAAAGAACTTCAAGGCCGACTCCAACCGAGAAATCTGGATCAAGCTTCCCTCTGATGCAAAGCAGATCCTTGGCCTTGATCCTCATGACTCTACGGTCATGAAGCTCGTCAAGCCCATGTACGGTCTTTGTGATGCACCCCGTGCATGGTATGAGGAGGCAGCTGAAAGAATCCTTCGAGCTGGTGCTGACACCATCGTCCGACATCCCTTGGACGCCTGCCTGTTCATGTGTTACGAGCCCACCAAGGAGGAGGTCACTGAAGAGACCGAAAGACCACTGACTGCAGTTTTTGGCATCCACGTTGATGATTTGATTGGTTGTGGTGATTTTGATAGTCCACATTTCAAGTCCTTGGAAAAGCTCCACGGCATCTTCACCTTCCGCGAGTGGCAAGATTCTGATGAGCTGGAATACTGTGGAAGCCAACTCCTTCACAAAGAAGACGTGCTTCGACTTTCCCAAGCATCAAGAAAGTCAAACCAATCTCCATAGCCACAGACCGTGCCAAAACACCAGAGTCACCTGTCACCGATCGTGAACGATCTTTGCTGCGTGGCCTCATTGGCGGACTACAGTGGCCTGCAACACAGACAGCACCACACTTGCAAGTCGGAATATCCATGTTGGCCGGCGAAACCTCAAGAGCAACAATACAGACACTACAACTGGCAAACAAACATTTGCGTTTTGCAAAAGAGTTTGCTGACGTTGGCCTGGATTACCGACACCTTGGCACCAAAGGAGAAATGAACTTCATCGTCTACTCCGACGCCTCCTTTGCTTGCAGAAGTGGCAACAACAGCCAAGGCGGCTACTTGTTGGCCATGTGCCATAAAGATGTGGCAGCTGGACTCTCCGAGGGCTACTATAATGTTTTGGACTGGCGATCTTGGAAGTTGCCCCGAATTGCAAGAAGCACCCTCTCAGCTGAAGCTCAAGCTGCCTGTGATGCCTCCGATGCTTTGATGTTTGCAGTGCAGTTTTGTTTTGGAATCTCATGTGGAAGCCATTCCTACCACTCAATCAAGTTGAAAGTGGACAGCTTCCTCACCAACCACGTCTGGTCATCGATGCAAAAGGATTTTTTTGATGTCCTCACCAAGGATGAGATCCAAGCTGCGACAAGTGCCGACGAGAGGACCACCATCGAGGCCCTGGTCTGTCAGGACAAGCTTGCCTGTTGCCACGGCAAAACAGCATGGGTCAGCAGTGAACTTCAATATGCTGATGGTTTGACCAAGCAAAGCGGTGCAACCCTCCTGGCCCAAAGGTTGAGATCCTGTATGACACGCCTCCGTTCAGATGAAAGTTTTCAAGCCTCCAAGAAGAAGACTCCACTGGATCGCAAAAGAAACACTGAGCGGTATGCTGTCAAGTGCCCTGAACGAGCTTTAGCTGCTATGATGGCTAGCTGCATGTTCAGGACCACCTACGCCATGAACACCACGAACTCCCTTGAAGAGCCCTTTGATAACACCTTCATGTTTTTGATCCTCTTCACCATGTTCATCGGTGTCTTCATGTGGTTTGCAGTCACCAAGCTGGTGACAAAGGCATGGACAACCTTCAACAGCACATTCACAAAAGCTTCCACTTTAGAAAGCACCACACAAGTCTATGAGTCAGAGTTCATGGACTACACGGACACCTTCACGCAGACAGAGCGACGACAGGACCCATACCAACTCCTGCAGGAGCTGAAAGCCGAGCTCGAGGAGACTCGCCAAAAGGGTCTCCAAGCTGCGAAGGAATGCCGCATTTGGGCGGCTGAGTACGAAAAGTTGAAGAAGAAGAATGTTGAGGACTTCGAGCAGAGACTCAAAGTCGAGAAGCAGCGCAGTTCCTTGAAGCCCATCTACCTGGCTGGACAGGGGTCCTGCTGGCACGCAAGTCGGAAGTGCCTGGCCGGAAGAACCCCCGGTCCCATCTTCGAGCGGCTCCCACGCTCATGTTGTGCCCACACTTTGTGGGACAAGAGTCAACCCTCTGCACCACCTGGAGGAGCTCACTGGTCCACAACGCATGGCGACCTGCGACCTTTACGCCGAACCTGAGGGATCGCAAGGCTCCAACCCGAACTTTTGATGGCCTGGAACTGTGAGTTTTTTTTACTGTTTCAACAACGTCCTTTCACCACCAGTGTGAGTTTCGTGCCACGAAACATGGAACATGTTTACTGTTTACTGAGTTTGCCGACCGCACGCCTCGAACAAGCTGGGCGGGCGATCGATCCGTACGAGCCATGTCGGCTACCGTTTGGCTGCGAGAAAAGCCGCAGCCGCTGCATAGCAAGAGACTGACACACCCCAAGACTTTGTGCGCTTGGAACCGTGGGAACACACACCACTTGCTCCACCTGCTACCTTTGTTGTGTTCTCACAACAACAACCTTTTCTGGACATGAGAGTGCCGGCCACAAGTCACGACATGTGATGTAGAATTCAACGAACCTCACAGAACAGGTTTGCGGTTTGCTTTGATTTGCCAACAGTGAACCAACCTTGTATGATCTTGTATGGAAGAATGCGCAATGTGATGTAACTAGCCATCAACCAGTGCTTTGAGGATGATGTCAGCTGCACCCTTTTGTTGTACATGTCGAATCCCTGGAAGCGTAGAAGCCATGAACCCAGATTTGTCCAGATCCATAGTTTTAAACACAGTTCTTCTTTTGTTAATAACATTCATTTACACTAGATGCCAAGGGCCAAGAACTTCTCACACCGAGACTTTACGTTGCACTGATACGACAGCAGGGACTTGTTAACAGATATTCACAATTGCATAAAACAATATATAAATCAATATCATTCAATATCTATAATTAGTAAATATCTATAATATAATATCGATAACATGCATGATGATATAATATATAATAGATAATATATACAATATACAACATATAAGTCTTTAAACATATATTAATACTATATATATGACGTACAATATGATATATATATATATATATATTCACAAAGAAAAACACAATGTTTCTATATGTTTTAAACGCAGTATCATTTGTACACAGATGCAACATGATGCAACTATGCAGACATCTGCTGCCATCCACAGTTCTAGGAGCGCGAATCTCTTCGAGTGAAAATCAGTCACCAACAAATTGGTTGGAGTTACTTCCTGCTTCGTCGAGAAAGTGAGAAACACTGGATCTATCAGGGAAGCTACGCCAGAACAGCCAGAACAGGAGGCTAGCTGCTTTGAGCGCATATCAGGAGCAACTGGCGTTGGAAGGCACGTTCAAATTGAGGCTCAGGAAAAAAAACAGTGCGCCTGCTCTGGAGGCTTTTTGCTTCCATGACGTGCAAAAACAAGCAAAGCTTGCATTGGCTTGCCCTGATGGCTGCGATCATGCTTGCTGTTTCGTGTGGCTTTCGAAGCCTGTAGAGGATATGGTTATTTTTGCATCCTCATTGTGGCCATTACTGTAGATACATACAGTGTGTATATATATATGTAATCATTCAAGACTAAGACCGTACCCTGCCCTTTCACTCAACGCAGGACACTGGAAAATATGCAGCTGCAGATGATTCCTTTCCCTGTGAGGCAATCAATAAACTGAAACTCACTAGCTGTAAGTTAAGAGTTGAAGCAACGAAGCAGCAGATTTCAAAACGGGTAGATGGATTCGAGGATTCGTATGCGTTGATTTCTGCCAGTCTGTGTGCGAGAAGGGCATCAGTTCGGTGCCAGCAACTGGCAATGGGAACAGCAACGGGCTCCTTCCTCAGAAGTGCAGCGCAAACTGGGATGCCTGCTACATCAGAAGCGCGCTGCATTGGAATGGACTTCCTTCAAGGGTGCACAAAGATGGTGATTCAGCCCGGGCACTGATGGCAAAGTGCCCTGCTTTGCGCATGTTGATCATATGCTCTTGCAAAACCTTGCAAAACCATTAAGGTAAGTCTGCCAACACAGACCTGGAGATTTGGCCAAGTGTTGATGAGATCCTTGAAAGTGCAGATCCTTTGTACTTCAGGTACAAGCAAAACACAGGCAACAATGGTGCATGGCCCAACACAGCTCAATCCGCAAAGCAGCGAAGTGGGTTTATAGGTTGGAGGCCATCACTTGTAGGTCGCTGGCCAACCGTCGGAGGCCATCACTTCTAGTAGACCATGCCAAAGACGCCAAGGTGACGAGGACTCGGACGAGCTTTCGGAGGCACAGACGAGCTCACGCGCTTTGGTAGTTCGTGTTTCAGAGACTCTCTTTGTGCCGTGTGTTCATTTGCAAAAACGCAGTGTTTCATACTTTTTTTACTATTTTTAATTTGTGCGATTTCAATCACTTTGAGTGCGCATTAGCTATGCATTATGCCGTGCGGTGCTAGTGCAGGCTTCTGATGGGGGCGACGTTTGTGCAAAGAAACCATTTGAGGCTTGTTGCTTGAGCTTACTCAGTCTTCAATTCTTTTGGTCTGCTGCAGTTTTATTCACAAAATGCATTCAGGTAGCTGCATGTGTCATGGGTGGTGGTGTGGTGGCTCCTGGCTTAGCAGCGTAAGCTTTAACTTTCCACGGCGTGAAGTCAAATAAGCTCAGGTTGCTACGGCATACCTTGCATTGACACAGACTTACCTGAATATTGAGTACAGACTGTCAGGCTGAAGTCATCTAGACCGGCAAACTACAACGAACTCCCAGTGATTGATGCCTGCCTTATGCAACAAATTAGGATGGTTGAGCTTCATGCTGCGTATTGTCTACAACGACGATTATATATGCGTGCTGAATATCAAATGTATGTATGTTCCCGGGGTTCCTTCGGTTCAAGACACCAATAGGGCATCATGACAGTTATACGTTAACGAAAGACAATGAAAGGTGGCAGATAGACTCTCTTCAGAGTTTTTCAACATGTGCAGAACACTGTGAGCAAAGACTCTGCTGACAGTCAAGCATAGTGAACTCACAAACTTGTAGAAATTCAGGAAACTTTAAAGATTCTCCAGATCTTCTCTAGATTCTAGGTGTTTCAGATCCTATAAAAGGCATCTCGGTGTTTTTACTAGTCAAACAATGAGCGCAAAGAGGTAAACAGAGGCGTCAACCTTAGATAGCTGCTTCAGCTTCCTCACTCCAGCGCGTTTGTTGCACAAGAGCACCATGGGGGTTCCCACCTTCTTCAGATACTTGGTTGATTTTGAATGTAGTGTTTGAATGTGTTTGAGTCATGTGCAATTTTCAATTCGTTTCAATCCTGTGTTTGCAATTCAGCATCCTGTCATGGAAACCAAGTGTATCCAAATGCATCTATGTCTAACTGCCAGATGCTCCACGAAGCCGAGGATGGATCTGTGTGAGATATCCAAAGGTCATCCGGGACACCATCGAGCGGGAGCCTGTGGAGATGGATGGTCGTATGGTGCCAGTGGACTTGGACGAAGATGCTGCACCCCAAGTTGGACAATGTGCATTGAGAAGCAAGCATGAAGCATCATTATGAAGCTGTTTGAAGCAATTTAACAAATCTTTCACAAGACACCAAGCGGTGCAATTTGCAATCATTGCTGAGCTGTCAGACCGTCCAGTTTGTGCGTGATTCCAGGCTCCAAATGGTGATTTCGACACCCTCTACTTGGACATGAATGGCAACCTGCCGCAATTGTGTTCACGACATGGTAACAAGCTTGCAGGTGGACGTGCCTGTCCGCAGTTTGCTCTGGATGAGGCATCATTCATCCTTGTTGTCATCCAGAAGATGGCCCTGCACCAGTAGATGAGGAGCACATGTTTCTTGGTCTGTGAATCTTGAGACTATATATTTAATCGTTAATTGGAAGGTGTCGCAGCAGTTTTTTCATATTTCTCATTAACTATTTTTGGCTGGTACGTGAAGCCCTACAAAGTCTGCCAGCTAAGGTATGAAAACATTTTCCTTTATTTGGACCGACTCATCAGAATAGTCAGGCAGCGAAGTTCAAATTCACTGCACCTTGAGATTTGTTCTGGTCAAAGGCCAAAACGACTTGTCTACATGGCGATCGACGGAGTGGCACCTCGTATCTTCCTTGGACAAACCGTGACAGTTGGTGACGTATGTACTGTTATGCAGATTCGCCTTTGGCACATTCTTCCCAATTGATCTTGAAGAAGTTGCAAGATCTTCAAAAAGAGGAAGCGTTGGACAGAAATTCTGCAGTACAAAGAAGTTCACGTTGTCAGTAGTTGTCAAGCCAATGTAGATCAATGGAAGCAGTTTGAGGCGGTACACCGATAGTTGTTTGTGCAACCGGTTCGGAAACTGAACGTGTAGTGATGCGAATTTTGACAATTGCTATGAACCTCAGATTGAACCAGATTTTTTCGACCCGGTGGCTATGGATGTCGATGTTATGTAGAGACCATGATGATCGGTTTCACAACATGTTCATCAACCTTACAAAGCATGATGAGTTGTTGATGTCATGTGACGACAGAAGATTCTATGGGGGGGTGGGGTCCCGGGGGGCTGGTTTTGTTCGTGTGATGAGGGGAACACGATGGTGATGAGTTGTTGATGTGACGACAGAACACGGAATGTGCACACTGGTGGAATTGATGCAATGTGGACTTTGTGCCGAAATCCCTCTCTTCGAAGTCGGTGCAGATAGACCAGAGGATTCGGTCGTGGCAGTGGCGTTTCATGCGCACAGCTACCCACAACCTGACGGCACGTTGCGCCGAAGAGCTGCCGAAAGAGCTGTGAAGACGCAGGAAAAGAGAGTGCGAGTCTTGCGGCTCCGTTCCTATAGATGTTCCACTGCTCCGGAAACACAACGAGACAACAAATTACCAAAGAACATGTCAACTCTACCGCAAAGCACAAGGCTTTGTAGGGAACGCAGTCAGGCTCCGTGCACTTGTCACACCCCCTGACATGAAACACGTGGGTTTTTATAGGGTTCTTGTGGCCTTGGTGACTTCCTCATGTTAAAAAAATGCACGCAACTACACGCCCCGTCTAGTTTCCGACCAGGAGGGTTGTTCGCGCAGGAGGATACTTTTTGGCTGTAGCGGCTGTTTGTCTCAAGACGGCTGTGTTCAATAGTGTCTTTGTTCCTATGGGCTTGATGTTGTCGAGAGTGAGTGTCAAAGGATGTCAATGACCTTGCGGCCTTGCATTTCAGAAGGTCGTGAAGTTATGTAGTACTGTAGTGCCGCATCGCTTTCGTGCAACGTAATGCCCACATCAACCCAGACTCTTTACAACAAAATCAGCTTGGACTACCTCCAAAAAACCTTGATTTTGTGTTTCATACAAAGAGTTGAGTTGCCAGCCAACGTGGAATCATTGATCACTCAACTCTTATTCCTCCCCCTTGTTTGATCAATCAGTGCCACCCCTTCCCCCTATCCTCTATTGATCGATCATCCTTTGGGAAGGGTAAGAGCTACACTTCCCTTGGCACTTGATGTGGTTTCACATCCTCCTTCAAGCGCAATTCAATTCGTAGCATGTTCATTTGTGCAGCTGTGTGATCCGGAGGATGTCATTTGTTTTTTAGCAGCAAACGGTCTATACAAGCAACCCCGTCACATCAGGTTTGTTTAAGCTCCCATAAGCACAAACCATGTCGCCAGAAAAACTTTGTTGGTATATTGCAGACAAGTTCCCAGTATTACCGAGTCAGTACAAGTTTTGGTACCATGGGCACACATAATATTGGCAGATGTATTTGAGTTACATCCTGCACGAGCCATTCATTGGACTTAGCTGGTTAATCCAATCAGGTGCCAAGATGAATCAGCAGCGGGCTCGTCGCTTCAGGGCTGCACAGGTCCTCTCTCGTTTCTTGAATAATAGCAATTCCTCCAACCTACTAGTGATGGCCTCCATTCTATTAGCGATGGCCTTCATCCTACTAGCGACATCTAGCGATGGCCTCCAACCTGATAGCAATGGCCTCCAACCTAATGATGCTTTTGCATGCTTTTGCAGCAGCCCAGGTAACTGTTCATCCATTTTTTGAAAGGAACGTGTTGGATTGTGAAGGAGCGAGAAGAGATGGAACGCGAGCAAGAAAAACTTCGGCAAGACTGGGAGGCATCGGGCTTGATACTTTCCAAGGAAAAATCTGGAATGCCCCTGAATGCAGGCGGAAGGTCGTACCTTACCCAATCGAACTTCAGGCAAAGTGTTTGACTCTAACGTTGCTGGCTCAGCATGTTTGAAGCTTGAATGATGGCGAAACATTGCCGAAATAGATTGGCTTGGCTGTGCACAGGTCATTACACCTGGAACCAACTTCTTGCACAAGATGTCGGAGGTGAAAGCAGCAAGCAAGCCTTTACAGTGCATTGTTTTGCATTCACGCAAGTGTTGCCCGCAGGCAATCCGATACTATATCCATGATCGTGCAAGACTTATTGCCATGCAAGTGAAGCAGATAGATGTCGACAAGAAATCTCACATGTGGGCTTCGGCATGCCAGGTACAACGAATGATCCTCTTTGGCAAAAGCTAAAGTTTCGAGTCATTCTTTCTGATGCTCCTGGGATGAACCAATGTAGTGACGAGCTCTTGCTTCTCGGTCTTGAATGGAACTGAGGCAAACGTTCCTAGAGCCTTTCTTGCAAATAGAGACGCAGAGACGCATTTCATACACATCCCCACATATCCCCTCAGTTTTGTATTACTAAGTGTTTGCTGTAAGGTGAGGGTGAGCACAAGATCATGCAGTTCATTCGATTGCAGCGTTCACAGCCAGACTATGATCCAAACACCAGGCTTCTCTTGATTTTGGACACCTGTCAAGTCAAGAGTCCAGAACAGGATTGAAAGTTGCAACTGGATTCAAATGCACAACGTTAAGATTGTTTTGAATGAGGTATGAAGAATGCAAGGCCAGAGTACCAACATGTTTGAACTCACTTCACTTTGGAAGGCACTGTCTATATGGAGCTGATGCAGACCTCATAATGCTTGGATTGGCCACTCATGAGGTGCACCACCCTTTGCTTGGACATGGCTGTGTCAGAAACGTATACATTCACTTTTTTTGAGATGGTGCGACGCGAAAACCTGCAAATCTGAAAAGTGCAAAAATGCGCTCCGGGCTTGCTATACATCTAAAATAAGTGCTAATTATATATATAACTATATATTAAATATATACCACTGTCTTACCATTGTTTGACTGTAAGCTGTCCAATTGGTTGTTGTTTTCTGCCAAGACATTTGTCTAAGTGCCATGAATGAAGTTCCAACTGCACCACATCGCAGCATTGACAGAGTCGTCGAGGATGATGAGAGAAATAAAAGTGTTCGAATAGATACCGTATACTACGTCCTTCTAGGGAACAGCAGGTAGTTTTGTATTGGGATCATACGCTTAGTGAAAATCACCGTGCCTGGGCTGGAGAACCAACCATGTCATGTATGCAATATGCATCAATATGCCGTGCACGCCGACTCCGAGTCATGCTAGTGGACACCTTCGTTCAATGTGATTGAATATTAAACTGAAAATGTCGTGCCACTGCTCAACCTATGAAGTCAGAAGCCCTGCAAAAACAACAAAAGCTAATTTTTGTGCTTCTGTCCCACACAAACCACATGAAAGCACAAAAATTGGAAAAATTGAAACGTCAAACACATATTTTCGCGCTTATGCCCCCGGA